GTCAGTGCAGCTGCTCCTATTTCTACTGTCTTCACTTCCCTCTTCGCATTTCTCGCGGTGTAGCGAGACTTTGTGGGAATAGCGAAGGAAGAATAAAAATAAAAGAAGCAACGGATCAGTACGTATGCTCCATCAAGAAGAATTTCGCATGAGTGGAGAAGAGAGAGAGAGAGAGAGAGATAGAGAGAGAGAGAGAGAGAGAGAGAGAGAGAGAGATAGGGGGGGAGGAGAAACAAAAGGGTCGAAAAGACGGCGAGTGCACGACTGTAGGAATCCACAGTTCTACTTTCTTCGTTGTTTTCCAGGCTGGACTCAAGATCCCCCGAGGAATCCAGAAAAAGGTCGAGACGCGTAACTTTGCGGTTACGCCTTGCCTTATGTCCCTCTGCTCTATCGTCTTCTTTTTTTTCCCGTCAGCGATTCCGAAATCCGTCCTTATTGCACGGAGCATTTTACCGTTTCTGTTTTCCTCTTTCGTCCTTTTTGTCTATCTGAACTAACGGATAAATTTTTGATTAGACGTACGAAAGTAGGCTACTCCCGAGACGTGATCGCTTCATTCACCAAATCAAACGAAATGCAACGAATATTACTTACGATCCTATTTTATTAGTGTATGCGAAACATTATGTTAATCGATTTTTTTTTTGGTTTTTGGTTTTATTTTTCAGTTTCATTTAAACTTTCTCGAAAAATTTAAAATTTATAAAAATTCATAGACTTTGAATATCAACGTCTTTAAATCATTTATATCTGACTTAATATTTTAATGAAATATTTCATATAATTATTTGTTAAAAAATTGTTTTTAAAATATTTTGATTTCTTTAGCTAGTAATTTCACTGAAATTAAAATATTGTACTATTAACAACTATTAAACAAACACACGAGTGAAACTCTACAGAGTACTGTAAAATGTCATTGCAAGCTCAAAGATATAAGCTCAAGCAAATAGGGGAAAATCGATAAATAATTGAAGAATTACAATGAAATTTTATCATACGTTAAAATGAAAATGTTCTTTCATTAATGCTTTATTTAAATAATTAAAGAACTAAGAACTTTCGTTACCTTAAATGTTTAGAAATTTAAATTTTTTAAATTTCTATATCTCACGACTTTTCTTCAAGTAATTTAAACACATAATACGAAATTCCTATTATTTAATTATAATTCGGGTAAAACGTGAACATTTTATAAAATACTTTATCTAAAACTTAATAATGAATAAAAGAAATATTATTATATTAAAAACTTATATATATTTAATGTTATATTAATATTATTTAGACAAACAAATATTTTTATTTTTTTTTTGTATCAAACGTATTATAGGTATTTTCACGAGTCCCAATAGTTTAACATGGAGTTACTAAAATTATGCAATGAATTTCATTCACTGCAGGATATTACTTACTACATCGTACTAGTTTGTAATTTCATGAATTTCGAATTGCCAATGATTATAATGCAAGTTAAAATGTACAATACCAGTAAAAAGCATAAATATTGTTTACGTTTCATTGTTTTTCTCAAAAATCGTCGTATCCAAATAAAAAACAACTAGGGTCGAAATTTTTGATAACCAACGATCGTTTCGAAACTTATTTAAAAGTTCATAACGAGATCGATGTAACGAGGTCAGCGAGATTGTCGGTTACTCCCTAAGTAAAAATAAAATGGAAAAAAAAAGAAGAACTAAAGACAGAAAAATGTCAAATAATACCAAAAATAAAAAAGGAGATAAAAGAAACTAGTAAGAAGGCCCTTGTCTCACCTCATCAAAACAGAAATTTGCTTAGCAATAGATGGGAACTCGGGAGAAGGAAAGAAAAATGAAAATGCGAGTATAAGAGAGACGGTGACAGAGCAGTGGGAGAATATCATCCAGATACCTGTGGGGAGAGCTCATTGAGAAAATAGGGAAAAATAAAGGCTGAAATAAAGGAATGGAGCAAGAACGGTAGAAGAAAGTACGTTTCCTTCTTCGTGACTGCGTTTCAGTGAGGCTATAACGAAGAAGAAGAAGAAGAAGAAGAAGAAGAAGAAGAAGAAGAAGAAGAAGAAGAAGGAGAAGAATAAGAAAAAAAGTTGTAAGAGGAGGAGGAGGAAGACGATGCCGAAAGAAATAAAAAGAAATTGTCATCGGCTGGATAGATGCTGCTACGAGTGAATGAGGTAGACAAAGAAGTAGGTATATTCCTTTTCTTCAACTCGCTTCTCGCCTTCCCTTTACCTAGTGCCGTTGACTTTTCTTTTTATGCCCGCCCTTTGTTTTTACGTTAACTTTCAACGTTGAATGTTTCCTCCGCGTTGCAGTTGTCAAGGCTTCGTAGCACAAGGACGAGGACTACAATATCAGCGACAGCGGCTCATTCTCAGCACGCAAGGGGTATACGTATGGTCTATAGAGGGTCTATAGAGGATGCGCAAGCGTGGGTTTAGCAGTCGGAGCATCATCGTCCTTTTTCTTTAGCATTCTATTTTTGTATTCGCAGCAGAAGTATCCTGCTAGGATCGAGGGCAATACGGAAGGCGATAGGATTTGGACGAGTCACAGTGGAAGTGGTTTAAAGAAGCAAGCTAATTAATTAAGCGTAAGATCTCTAAAGAGCTTTTTTTACATTAACTTCCGCTATTGATAATGTTACTTTCATCGTATACTTTGGAAGCTTTAACTTCCAATTGCTCCCTTATAAAATAAGGGCAACGATAAGAGCGGAAACTCGGCATATTGCCGGGCTAAGCATATTACACTACAGCTCTGCACAATTCCTTTTAATTAATCAAATATATTTTTGGATTACTTTGTAGCAAATAAAACTCCAAAGTGTAACCAATCCATTAAATAAATTAATCGAAATGATGATTAAAGGATAGTGTTTTTCCTCTGATATTTAGCGTCTACCTCTTTTTGTTAAAAATACGACTTTCCAATATTATGCTTTAAAGTAAAAATGCTTAAAAGTAAATACCAAAAGGGCCAAAAGTATTATTAATTAATTATTTAATAAATTATAGATTGGTACAAAGGTGCAGTATATCCCACGATGCAAAATAACAATGATCCTGACATTCGCCCCATTAATTATAATAATTAATCGAACGCCTATCGAGAAACTAATTATCAATCTGAAATTATTAATTATGTTTAAATGCCGATGTGTTTACATGAATTGTGCCAATGCTAAGCATTGTTCTCTTCGTCTTATGAAAAATTATTAGACTGGATATGAATTCCGTATCCACACTGTCCAAGTACTTATGCACATTCGGTGTTTTATCCAAAATAAACTGGAATTTTTTGCAATAATTGTTTCACAAATAATTGGGTTTTATAGGTAATATCGAATTAATGGAAAGTATCATGCGACATGGCTTTTAGGTAAAACTTTTAATTCCAAATCCAATTAATTACCTTAAGATAAATTTGTATATTATTAATTCGTAAAGTGGCCAAACAATTTTTACCCACTAATTTTTTTATGTTACAATTGTAAAAATGATCGATTTTTAAATTATCATAATGACAGATTAATAATTAACGTATAAATAGAGATAAATTTTTCTTTCCAAGTTTAGTAATGTTCACGTATAGAACGTATATTAAAAAAAAAAAAAATATTGTAAGTAAAAAATTAATAAAAATAGGATGAAGTTACGCAACTATAAATATATAATCGATTAAATTTGGTTAAGATTATTTAATTATTATTAAGTTCGGGAATGTAATAATTGCTTTGTGTAATCAATATAAATTTGTAAATGTAAACGAACGTTTAGCGATTAATCTCAAATTCGCAGTTTAATTGATCTAATTTTAATTCTATGCCCAATTGTAACAACTATATTAGTATTGAATTAGGTTTTTCGAAAGACAATACGTTAGTTTTCAAGGTGATTGTATGTTCCTTAATATTAGACATATTGTGACCTATTATTGAATATCTACTTTTTATGATTATTGTTTATTCAATAAAATAAATAAATAAAGTAAATCGTCCAACATTTGGACATATCGCATTACTGTAAGGAAGAAAAAGCAATATTTTTTTATCAAATTCATAGTGTTTTGAAAATTTCGACTCCTTCTTCTATTTTGAGAAAGTTTTTATCTATCAAAAACGTATAAATGTTCATTTACAATTTTTGTTTCATTTTCTAACTTGTAAATTTCTCGTATTGCATTTATCACCCATGTAAATTCAATATTAAGAATTTTTAATTTAAAAAAATGGAATATTGTGGCAGATTAAACAATTACATAAACTCATAGAGCTCCAATTTTCATTAAAAGTCTTTGTTATCTACTTAAATTATTCGTTTTGCGCTTGAATTTTTTTTTCTTTTTCCCTTTTTTTAATTATGCTCGAAAAATATTACACTCTAAAATTATATTTGAATTTCTCGTAAATAATTTAACTGCAGCTAACACATTGACAGAAAGTAGGATAATACATGATTCATGTACGAGCAATCACATTTCCAGCTCTATACAAATCGTATATTGCGATGCTTTCCGAATAATTTTCGCAAATTTATTCGCTGGCCTATATGCAATATAAAGTGTAATAAAATACAACTAATGATCAATTAATAAACAGTACGGAAACTCAACTTATTCAACATTTCAATTTCATGATTTCGTACACTGACATGAAATAGGATATAAGCAGTCGTATTTCCCCTGCCACCTACGACTTGTACACCATTATAGCTTCCGAATTGTTTTAGCGAATTTATCGAAAAACATAAATCCAAGGTTATCTACAAACGAAGCTGCTGGCATTATTAAGTATGCCGAATAATCAAACGATTCGGGGATTAATAATTACAAATGGACAAGTGCGCTACGTTGATCATTTGTGGCCCCGTAAAGCAATGGGGTATCAACGGCCCGAGCAATCGCCCCATCAGTGTCCAATCTGCGGGGTGGGGTGTAGATGCAATAGAGTAAAACCTAAGAGTTATTAAAGACAAACGGAAATGATATACTCACGGGCGGTGAGGTTGGCTGGCTTGATGATCTTCGGACAGGCCCGGAAGAGCCCGAGCTTGAACCTGACACTGACGAGGCCGGCGAGTTGGCGCGGTAGGTAGGGAAGCCGCTCCTCGGTGTGCAGCCAGGCCGGTCCGAGGAGGGCGGCCGTGAGAGCCGCCAGGGCAGCCATGCCACAGAAGAGACCGCACCTCGTCATTCTGGTGCCGCCCCCGCTACCCCCCGTGCAACACATATCTTGGGGACCGGGATTGCTGACCGGGTCCTGTGCGGCCGGTCTCAAGACCAGGACCTCGGCATGCTTCCGGTCGCTCGGATGCTGTCGCGGAGCCTCGCTGCCTCTCCGCCTCGGGCCTCACTCGTCCGCCGGGGGCGAGTCGCGTCACGTGCAACCGCAGCGACGGCTGGAGGATGGGCGCGATGGGGCTGACGCCCTCGTCGTCATTGTCCTCGCTGCCCGCGTCCTTGGCGTCTGCATCGGTCTCGGACCTCGGCTTGTCCCAGTATCTGAAAGCTCGAGGTCTCTTGGAATTTCGCCGCGGGTAGTTCGCGTGACCGCGTTAAACGCTCGCTCACGCCGCGGCACGTGACCCCCTCCACAACACCATCACCCCTCTGTCCCGAATCCCTCTAGCCGGCCACGAGCGCGCAGACACACGAGCACGGACGCGCGCGTGTACCGGTATCCGTCCCTCGGTCTACCCGTGTCTCGCTAACTCGCGTATGCGTGCGCGTGTGCGTATGCGTGTGCCCCCGTGTGCGGGCTTGCGCGTGGGCGCGCACGAATTGGGGGCTGCCGGCAGACTCGATAACTCGAGTCGGTTAACTCGCTTATCGGGCGGCCATTTACCGTGGATTATACGCAACGAGTCCTCTGTGTAATGCGCGTCTGGCAGCGGAATATTATACGATACGAACGTGAAATCTTAGATTCTTAGTTACTAAGGCGGTATGATATATGGCTTGGCTTTCTATCTAATCTATGACTGTGTACTATTCTTATTAGAGAAAATCTGTCAAAATTCTCTGCAAAAGTCCAGTACACCTAGGGATATTAATTTCATAATAAACAGGTTCGTCATTCGATTATTTATCTGCGCTCTTTGTCATTATATCATTTGCCACAACTTTCTTACTTTATGGTAGGACTCTGGATCCGTTCCGTGGAGTCGAGGGAAACGAGAAAAATCGAAATTCGATTTACGATTGATGGAGTCAGGAGAGCACAGTTATAAGTGTAGTAATTGAAAGTATAAATACTAAATTCTCACATTACAAACGACCGACTCGTAGCACTGATGCCTTGTAATTATAAATTACGATTGCAAAAATAAAAATTCATTGAATAAATATTATGTTTGTGAAATCATACAAAACTACGCTGGGAATTATTTGAAATAATATATATATAAAATGATACGACGTCTGCAGCATCCTTTTTATAAAAAAAAAACAGCAATGAACAAGCGAGCATTCACATTGCATATATAATTGATCCTGTTGTTTGTTTATTCGGTATACTCGTGCAAAAACATTGCATCACAATTCAGACGTATATTTCTACCCATCCTCATTTATTTCTTACAATTTATTTATCATTTCGTTAAGAAATTTAAAGTAAAACTCTTGAAAGCGGTAACAACTTAATAACAAATGCAAAATCAAGGGAGGAAAAGAATGCAAAACAAGTAAGAATTATGAATTGTTACTATCGCCAGGAAATGTGAAATCTTTTTATAATAATAATATTATTGAATAATAATAATACTATTAAATAATAATATTATATTTAACGGAAACGGAAAATAAAATGTATGGCTTGATAAAAATATGGATAAAAAAGTTTGATAATATACATGAATCATATTAATTTATATTTATATAAAATAATAATTATATAATCATAATTGTATAACTATTATTTAAAAACATTGCGTTATTTATTCTTTTCTTATTATAATATTTTTTTTATTTTTTTTTTTTTTATTTTATGCAATCATACACACGTAAATGGCTTCAACTATATTACCGTAACAAAATTGTATTAATTTTTGTTATGCTTCATTATGTAGTTATATTGAAAATAAAGGTATTAAAATATTTGAATGCATGGAATCCATTGGATGGAGAAAAATACAACAAGCGTTATTATTTCGATTTTTAACTTTCATTATTTCTTGAGATCTCGAGAAAAAAAGCCACGTATTTAAATCACACGTCACCCGATTTTGAAATCAAATTCCAGTCACATTGGACACAAATCATCTCGCCGATTCAGCCAAAAATGTCTACGAAAACGCATAAATTCTCGGGAGGAAAAAACGGAATAAAAACAGACTAGAGGACTATCGTTGCTCTTCGTCGTTCATCTGTCGCGATCGAAAAACTTTCGTCCGCGTCGTTTTCGCGCAACTTACAAAAACGACAAAAAACACGTGTGGGCGCGCCCGCGCTCGGAAAACCGCCTGCGGTATCACACGAAAAAACTAGAAGCGAATAATAAGGACCATACTAACGGTAAAACTTTGGATGTAGATGCGTACAACGATGGCTTTGGCCTTTGTCCTTTAAGAGTTTGTGTCGTGCGAATACGGGAGGTCGTTTTTTATCTCAGATTTTTTTGTTTTGAAAGCACACGATAGAGTTGGATGCGGATGACGGATATTCTGTGTGAACTTTCTAATAGTTTTAAGTGAACAACATGGCATCTATTTTTTGTTGGATTTATTAATACATAGGGCAGCGAATAATATGTTAGGAATTATATACGATAAAGTAAGGGAAAAAAATTGATTATTTATTAAATGGACCGATACGCATTATGAACTGCAATCGCTCAATAAATGTCAACGTAATCAAATACATAATAGTTAAGTTTCGGAATATAAAAAAGTTTGTATGAAAATGAAATAAAATAATTATTTTTTCTGGTTAATTTTTTTTTTTTTAATTTAATTTTATATTGTGTAAAGTGCAGTGTCGATTGTTGAGAAAAAAAGGAAATTTTAAAATCTTTAGTAAATCCAAAGAAGATTATTAGTGGGCACGTTACAGAAAAATGTATAACAATATTTAATCTACTCGTGAAACTAATTCCTTAATTTCAGATTAAATATGAAATTATACGATGTAACATAAAAATAATAATTATATAAATTCTTCAGAGCAACATATTTCAATAGCATTTTATTTTAAACGTAATTTACCCTTTCTCATTTATCATAATTAATAGGGAACATAAACAAAAAAAGCCTCGTCATTGTTAATTAAATTTTTTGAAAGCAACAATAAAAATGAAAACACACGATTCACTTAGAAAAACATAATTTTAATATACAGTATAGAAAATACAAGATATTTATTGTCCGAACATATTCAAATGCCGTGGTGTAAAAACGATATAATGTTTAAATGTTTTCGGAAACATTTGAGCCATCTAAACGTCAAAGATAATAAAAGCGATTCCAAGGAGTCTACCTTGTGTTCACAAACAACCGAACAAACTATAAAAAGAACAAAAGCCAAAAGAAAAAGGAAACTCGCTTCGTAATTTTCCCTGTAAATCCTACTTTTACTGCCTCGAAATTCGCTTTATCCGTGCTTGCTATGACGATAGCTGCAATCGGAATTAATTTCTTCAAGTGCCACGAAGCGCGTGAAGCCAAAAGTTTTAATGGTTTTTCCCACATAACTAAAAATCTATTAAACGTCGGTGTCTGGTTTTGGAACGACGCATTGACCTAAAAAAAAATAATAATAATAAAATAATAAATTTTTCACACGTCAGGATATATTTTTTAACAAATCTTACTATATTCGTTCTTTAAGCCTTTATCTATGTGTGAAAGTACTTTTATGGGATCAGAGTGCAAAAATATATTACCTAATATATAAGGTTTGTAGCAAATAAATGATAGACTCCTAAATATATATATTATTTAAAAAATACATTTTTATTAACATTTATGTTAAATTATATGAAAGTTAACAAAACCGTTTGGTAACAAGAAAACGGATTTTCAATAGATAGAATTTACAGTGAAAACTGTCGTTCGAACAATCGTGATGCGTTACATGACTGTGAGATTTTTATTAGTATCAGTAATTATTTAATTATATTCTATAAAATTAACTATTCATATATATGTGTTATTTTACTTTATGTAATCTTAAATCTTTAAAACTTTTATATAAGCCTATATATACAATTATTATATTATAGATTCGTTTAAAAACTTAAGGTAAAATAATTTAAGTAACTTTGTTGCTTTAAAAAAAAATTAACACCTCACTAATTATCGATGATGTTGATATAGGTTGATATAGAGACACGATATAATTTTGTAAATGGATTTAAAAGTTAAAAAGTATTATTTTTTATGCACGCATGTACGGAATTTAGTTAGAAAAATATCAGCTACATTGAAAATTATTCAGAACTTGACAGAAGCAACTAATATAATATTTAAATTCTTCAACTACGTATGATATAAATAAATAATTTTACAATAAATAATTTTATGTACCCTATTAAGAAATTTTATTGAATCGTAACTTTAGTAACTTAAGTAGCGATAGCACATAGCATTTTCAGTATATAATTAATGCATAAAAGTCGTTTTAATATTAAATTGATTAAGTGAAACAGATTATAATAATAACTCGAAGGGTAATAATAATTTTACTAATAAAACTAAAAATATATAATAGAGCATTTCGTATGTAATTATTGTTGAAAAATATTTTAAAAAATATATTTTAATACATTTGTTATTTATCTTAACAAGTTGCAAATTATTTTGAATCGCTAATATCAATTCTAAACATTTTATATATAAAAAATATAAAATACAGTTTTCGATATTCAATGTCTACCTTATCCGACGAAAAATACGCACGATCACAAATATTTTTAATTTATTTTTTACGATGAACTATCATTTTCATCAAACAATTATTAAACATTCTTTAACTGTAAAATTTATAAAACAATAACATTTTAATTTTACATAAGTACAATCCGTTCTCGATAATCAAGATAAAATCTTGGAAAAAGCAAAATAACTAATGTTAAAATACTATGTCTTTTATAATTACTCACATTTTCACAATAATTTAAAAAAAATTACAAGCATGTACAGCAAATTTTAGCACATTTGCCTCTCAACTACTGCAACTGGAGTATTCACGCTCCGTCATCTGCAGTCTCGTTCATGCACATAACACACATACGTGCACACAACAATGCATATGCACGTGCACACACGCGCATGCATACTATTCTGTCCATATGCCTACACAGAAATGCGGGCGTATACATACGTATAAAGATATATAACTATATACATACATATATATGTATGTATATATATATATATATATATATATACATACATATATATGTATGTATATATATATATATATATATACGGTCACTCCGTTATTCTTTTTCATGCATTCTCTTTTATTACCTTTTGTTGTAGATAAAATTTATTATACG